CTTGATTTGATAATAGTTATCATCTCTTCTCTTCTGTTGTTTTGTTATTCATTATTTCGCGACATGCTGCGATCCAACCAGGGAAATTGGAAATCATCGCACACTTGCTTAACTCGACCGGCTGCTGCTAAAGTCGCCATAGGCAGCAAGGGTCGCGTGCCGTTAAGGCCAGTGCCCCTTTGTGCCGGTAGCCACTATGTATTATTTATTTTTGCGAATGCGGCGCAAACGAAATTCCCTGCAGGACGTGGCGTTTAAAATGCATCCCAGTTTTATGTTGCGGAAACGATCGCAATAATTATGGAGATATATCGCAGTGTCTGCTTTTCGTACCGTTATGGCGGCGTACGGATTCATTTTTAATTTGTTGCTAGATATCGTATATGGGATGGGACATCGGAGAGGTTGGGTCAGCAGCAAGTTATAATGAGTACTTGGTTCAGTTGATTCTTAGCCTCAGCGAAATGTACAGCGAACCCTCTTATAAGTTTTATGAAGTCAGAAATTACCCGCTATTTGTCCGGAAAAATGAGGCCCACACCAAGAAGAGGCCCACAGCAAGAGTTAAAGAAATTATATTTTTGAATAGAATTAATTCTTCAATTTGTCACATGCGTCAACAACAATATAAAATTTAAAAGTGACATTATCTAATTGTCCTCAAAACAGATAGTTTTCACAGTTTTGGAAACTATAGGTACTACTGCCCAGCTGAAATGAAACACCCAAAAATTGAAGTGAACTGAACTTTTTTCTTCATTTATCACTCATACTGAGTTGAATACTTTGTCACCTTCAAAAAATTAATGAAATAAATGCTTGCGACTGCTAAATTGAGTAAAGCAGCATATTATGGTATCTCTAACTTTGGAAACGGGCAAAAACAAACAAATTTATAATGTCAAAAATAATATAATAAACGGAATGTTATTGTTAGTCCAAAAGACGAAAACGGATAGATTTTTGTAACGTTAACAACTTTTTGAAGTGCGCGATGGGATATTTTGTATTTGTCTGCTTCTTTCAATAACCACTGACTGCTACGTTTGGCGCAAGGATTTAATTATTTTTTTTAGATTTTCAGGTGACAAAATACCAATGAATAAAGAAAACAAAAAGAAAATTATGCCAGAAATAAATAATAGACAAAACTGAAAGGTGTGTAATTTCTAAATTATCTAACAACGCCATTATTTCCTGTTGAAAGAGTATGTATAACGCTTCAAAATTGTATGCCGTACAGAAATTTCACGTGGGCATACGTCTATACAGGATAATTCAGTCATAATGTCATTCATTTTTATCACGTATTCGAAAGGCTTAATAAAGACAGAAAATCGAATAAAAAATTTTACTCGACTTTTAACAAGCAAATTACCCCTTATATCCCGTTAATTCGGCGCCCTACTTTGCATTACATTTGCTGACTGGGAACGCGCCGGCGCACCACAGAGCGTTCGAACATTGAAGCGAAACAGCTGATTTCCCCAGTCGTCCTAAATTTTGCAATTGGTTTCAATATCAAAGTACAGTGAATCTTCATTTTAACGGATGAGTGTTGTTTTAGCCGTACTGGCATTTTAAATAGTTAGGTGCCATCTACTCTTTAAAAGCAATAAGTCACACAATAACACAATAAGATATACGTACTACAAACTGAATAATTAATTGAACATAATATTAAAAACATGTATTCAATTATAAATCATAGAGAATACGTACAATATTACAAACTCTAAATTGCAACAACCTAACATTCGAAAACAATTATTATCGCTATACATTTGTTTTTATTAACAAATAAATAATTTTTAATATTTAAAATGTAAAAAGAATTATTATTCATTGATGTGTCTAGGTAAAAAGGTTTGTTTTTGTCGTTCACTATTAAAAACACAGTAAAAGTTAGTGACCGAGTACGGTCAAGATTTACTCTCGATAAACCTTTGTAGGTCAGCGGTCAGGAGCGGAAATAATGATTCAAAATATCTTTTTCTGTTTAAATAGGTATGCATTCAAAATTTTTTTAATAGCGTATTCATTTTCTACTCATGTTTCCCTATTTTTCCTTAAAATTAAAGGGTGTCTAAAAATTTTGTTTTTTTTTCATTTATTTTTAGATCCTTTATTTTTTATCCTTAGTAGGTAATCACTATGCCTGTTACATTAAATTGCTATCGTATACATTTTTAAAAAGTTATTGTTATATTGGGTATTGGTCAACAAAGGACATGTCGATTTTATTTTTATACAATTTCCAAATCAAATCAAATTAACCATAATACTTCTTTTAAAATTAAAAAGTTGTGGCTTTTCAGAGGCATTACATGAATTATTCACTTCTTGCTTAAGTAACAGACATTTTATGGTGAGATATCAAAATCTCGTTTAGAGGTTTTGTTTTCTCCTACATCGGACGTTCCACATGGTTCGAATTTGAGTCCCATATTAATTTTATGTTTTATTAACAATCTTCCTAAAATAATTACTTGTGATCATTTGTTATTTGGTGCGAGGTAGATAGTCTAAATCTCAATGAGTATTATTAATGTAATGTAATTACGTATACCTGCAAAATTAGTTTTATGTTGGTAATAATGTTATTTACAAAGTTGAAATACTCGAGGATTTGGGTATCTATTTTGACTTTTAGCTCACTTCTATCGATCATATTTTAATCACACTGTGTTTAGTGCTTTTCCGATGCGTTCACTTTCAAAATTCTGATTTGTGCTCTTATTAGGTTTAAAATCGATTAAGATTCGATTATATGGGTATCCGATCTATCACTTTCGTTGCCAAAGCTAATAATCGGTCTAAAGACAGTTTTTATCTTTTTCCGAGATGGATATTATCCACCTAGAGGTTATTCTGACACCGATGTGCTAAATCGATTTAATATTAAATCATTGGGAATCGGACGTCATATGATACTGATTCAATATTTGTATAACCTTCCAAATGACAAGATTGATTGTCCCGAACTTTTACATAAGTAACTTAATTTTTTGATCCGATACTTTAACTACAATCACAAATTGGACTTTTTGGTTTAATTTTTTTTTTTCTCGCACAAATAACTTTTGGGATATCATTCCAGTCTACGTTAGGGAAAAAAATTACAAGATGATATCACGCCTTAAGTTACACTCTCTATATATACTGCAATAAGAGCTTAAATCTTCAGTTTCAGAGTTTTCCCTAAAAAATAGTGATCATATTTGTTCACAAACACGGGCAAATTCATATCAAATATTCTTCGGGCTTGGAATTTCAAAAAAAATTATTTGGGTTCATAAAAAAGTTATTAGACTCAAGGACGAGATCAAAATTTGACATCAAGTAAAAGTTTGTACAAAATTGCAACTTAAAAGTTGTTAACAATTTTTTTTATTGTAATTTTGATACCTCCATGTGCTAAATGAAAAATGTTTAAAAATGAAATAAAAAATATTAAATCCCATTATTTTCAACAAGAGTTTGTGGTTAACGGCATGACCTACTCTTTTGTGACATACTGTATTACTCATTACGTCTGAGAACGGTCCTGTACACTTGTTATTTATTTCTTCCATTAGGAATGTTGTAAACCATCAACGTTATTATTTTTTAATTCAGTTTACTGTATTTATGTTAATTTACATAGGTCGTTTCTAATGTACAAACCTTGATATTAAAAAAACAACCACAAGTGCATTTTTATGTGGCTTGTGCATTAATAATAAACATAAGTATACTTTTCAATGATTTAATAATTTATTTATATATATTACGCTATCTTCGTGCCTTTTACTATACAGGTCGTTAGAAAATATGTTTTCGTAGCCTTTTAAATATACGTCAATGAAATTGTTGAATGTGAAATTTTCTTTATTGAATTTCAATTTGAAATATCCCAGAACAAACAAAATTGATTTTTAGCTAAACTCAAAGATTCTTATTAAAAAATGTCTGCTTTTCTTCATACGTACAAAAATGTCGTTTCAAGTAGAACAACAAGTACAGGGTGTCCCTTATTAAGAAATTATTAGAAAATATATAGGGTGATTTAGATAGATGAAACTTTACCAGGTAATAAAACAAGTTATATTAAGCAGAAAGTTACATATGAACGTTGGTCGTAGTTTACTTGGTTTCGGAGTTACAGGGTGTTGAAATTTGAAAAATGGGACTTCTTTGTTAGAAATTTTAAATAAAATGTAATGTAAAAAATTCAGTAATCGTTAGTGTAGAAATTTCTAATGGCATAGCTTCTAAAATGTTCACATGACACTACTTAAAATAATTTGTTATATCACCTGGTGAAGTTTCCACCTTAAAACCTGGACCACCTTTGTTTGTATCATTAGAATTCAATAATATGCTTGAAAAACAAATAAATCTTTTTGCAATATTTACTTAATATTCAGTATTCCTAACTCGTCTTAGCCATATAGGCCAGGAAATATGAGTTGGACGCGACTTTTTGTTTCGGCAAGCTGAATTTATCACTATAGATGCTAAATATTATGTACAATAACATATTAGTCTCCACAGTCATAAAAATGGGGGGGAGATTGTTGACAGAGTGGTTAATTGTATAATTTTTAAGTAAGTTCACGTTTATCGCTTATAACTTTTTTCCGTTCATCTCCACGAGAAAATAGTAAAGTACTTTTTTTTTCGTCTTCAAAGGACCTACAGAACTAGCCCTCGAGCGTAAAATATTGATTAAATCAAAAGTTATAAACAGAAGAAGTTTATGACTTGAGTTAAACATTTATAAACTGCGTTATTATTACCAGAACGTTTTGGCATTGCATCCTCTCATTCCTTATCATTGTCTAAAAAAAACGAAGGATGTAAATGAAAAAATGTATGCCATGTACCAGGCGCATTTTCTATGCTACAACTCTACGCATCTATTCATTTTCTTTAATTTGTTTGAGCATTTCTTTATATACAATTGAAGGCAAGGCGTATATATTTTATATTTACACTGCGTATTTCTTCTGTTTCAGGCGGGTCCCTGCCGGATTCCCACATTCGGTTCCAGGATACCCCAGATCCATTCCAAGACGAAATCCTGCGAGATAAGCAACAAACAAATCGGCGAAAGGGTTCGCATCGGAGAGAAGGAGGGAATATTGAAATTTGTGGGAAACGTGCACTTCTCCAAAGGTGTGTGGTGTGGCATCGAACTAACCAACTCGACCGGTAAGAACGATGGCATCGTCAACGGTGTCCGATATTTCGCCTGCGCGGACCGCTGCGGGTTGATGGCGCCACAGTCTAAGGTCTCGCTACTCACCACTGGCAGCTGCGAATCGCTGAATGACGATGTGTCTTCAGGACCGTACTCTATGTTATTTATCGAACCCAAGCTTGATGATACTTTTATAAGTAATGAAAATGGTATCGGTAATATTTTGGAGCAGCAGAATGATGCAACCGAAAGAGAAAGTTTAAATTCGAGGAAAGAATTTAGCAATCCTGATAGGAATAAGGCGAATGAAACTTTCATTGGTAACCAGAACGCGTTTTTAGATAACACTTGTACATACGAAATTTTAGATAAGCAGAATTCTTCCAATTCATCAGACGAGTTTAATGACACAATTATCGAAACGAGATTAGATGAAACGTTTAATGCGAAACAACATTTAAATTTTACTCTAAACGTAAATGAAACAATAAGTCAAGAAGCTGCAAACATATACTCACCACAAAAAGGTGCCTCATCTCAACTTTGCGAAAAAAGAGCATACGAAGATAACGCAACTTACAACTTCGGTAGAAGAAGAGCGTTCGATCTTAAACCTTTGAACGATACAACCAACGTGAGTAAAAACTACCCAACATTTGACTTTGAGAAGAGCAAGAAGAGATCGAGTAAAGTCTTTGACATTTCTCTCGATGACGTCAATACAACGATCATAAATAGCGCTAATTCTCTATCGCCGTCTGTGGAGGTTAAAGCTTTTGCCACTAACCAAACGGAAACGCCTTTAATTGAACGCAATCTGAATTATTTGCCAATTAACAAATCCTGCGAAAGCTTGCTGAGCGGTTCCAGCGTAGAAGTTAAGCGACGCCGCACTTCCAATCCGAAAACCCAAAAAGTGGAAGCGATCATCCTGAAAAATCTGCCGAGTTCTGTAGACAAACCTTCGTCGTTGCCTCAGCTGAGAAACAGTTTCAACGCGAGTAGCCCTCCTAGGTCGGCGCCTGCTTTAAATAAATTGACTTATTCCACTCCCAATAGAGGCGAGTTTACCGATGCCTTATTAAGGAAGCTACGAATCAGCTCCGTGGGGTCTTCTGGCGCTTCCGATAAGAACACAAACTACGACGATGACAGCAGCAAAAGAAATTCCCTGGAATTCGAGGAGTCTCTCGGTATATTAACTCCGGATCAGATGATAGACGGAACTATATTCACTAACGTGCAGTCGAGGTCACCAAGTTTAGAATACGACGGTAACGTTAACGAATTCGATTCAAAGACCCAGGAAAACTGCTCAAAATCCGAGTTGCCTAGTCCCAGGGATTCGAGTCTTGGGATTTTAGATGAAAGTGTTGCAATGAAAAACTGTCTAGGCCTCACTTTAGAAGTCACAACCAATAAAGAGGTCAAAGAGACGGAATTACAGAGTCCCAATCTAACCAGTATGACTGATTGCAGCCTTGGTATTTTAGACGCACAAGTGATATCTAACTTAACGTTAAAAACAGACACTACGGTGAACATGGAACTGCCTCTAGACTCTATAGATAAATCGAAAGACTTTAAGTTTACGCGACTGGAGCAGACGCCATCTCCGGAAGAACTGCCTTTGGATCCCACTCCGGTGGTCGAGTCGGACTCGAAAACGGAGCCATCCAAATCGAAGACAACAAATAATAGCTTTATCACTAGCATAACCAGTATCACTAGCCTAGATACAGGGTATCAAGGAGATGGCGAAATGTCCAGGCCCGCTAGTCGGGGTCCCGACAACTCTCCCTTAACCAGGAGGCCTCTACCTAGACCGCAACCTCGACGGCCCGATCCCATGACTGATTCGGATTTCTACACCGAAAGCGATGCCGATAATCACGAGGACAATCAGTTACGCGGCGACCGAAGGGCTCAAGTCATAGACGGAACCCTCTATGGAGTTGATCCTCAAGCTGCCGCAGATATTTACGTCAACAATCGAGAGAATATGGACTCTAGCGGCATTTTCACAGATTTGGAAAACAACACCCGTAACGAAGAAGACATGCCCAACGAAGTGCCTGACGTATCCCCTTCGGATGCGTCCACCAAGACAATATCGGAAAATAGTCAGAATAACCTACAGGAAGTCTTGGAAAAAAAATCCTCGAAACAAGATAACAAGGATATCGACAAAACGGTGCAAAAGGAGAATCCTAAAAAGCGAAACGCGCCTAGCCCTGTCGTTTCCAATCCCTCAAACGTTTCATCTCCGAGACACAGAGCAAAAGAGGAGAACGCCGCTAAGAAATACAAAATGCCGAAAAGGGACGTGGCGTCGAAAGTCAAAGCCATGCTGGAACCCAATCTGTTACAACAGAATGAAAAAAAGTCTGCTAAAAAACCTGTGGGAAGGTGGGACGCCGTTATGAAGAAAATATCTACGAACGAGCAAACTAAAACTAATCTAAAAGAAGTGAAATCCAAAGTGTTCGATAACGTAAACGTGAAAAAAATGGGCGTCCAACGGACGAACGAGAGGAAACCTAATACTAGATCCCCTGGAAATCCGAAGAGCCCGAGCAGCAAAACGTGAGTAATAAAACATTAAACATTTGCACTTGTAAGTTGTATATATATTGCACGATTTTTCAGTCTGACTGTAATCAGTAATGCCCTTGAAGGGACCACGAAGTCTGCCAGTCGTAGAAAGTAGGTATATGCTAGAAAAATACGTAGATTCTTACTATATACCGCATGTTTACAGTTTTCTCTCACCGGACAGTGCCGTTTTAAACAAGAAGTCTCCAGAGTACAAAAAGTGAGATTATTTTAATTAGCATAATTAATGCGTTACATATTAACACTTTTTCAGTCAATTAACGCCGAAGGAAAAGCATGGAGTAAAGCAGTGGATGCCAAAGTCTGAACCGTACGTATTTAATTTACAATTATTGAATTTATAACGTGTTTGTAACAACATTCAAATATGTACTAGGTTTAATTAGCAATTAAGTCTAGCATTATAATTGAATACCGCTGTTATACAAGGTGGCGCACTACACATGTCTCTATCTATTAAGCTGAACATTATTAAGTTTTATAAAAAAAATATAAATATACAGGGTGCCCCAATTTTGTTATACGGGAAAAACGTATTTGTGCGGTAGACCAATGTGCTGTCAGTCTGACTCTGAATGTAAAACTTTTAATCCTTCTGATTGCTTATGGGCACTTGTAGGGGGTAGGGGCTTCCATTTTAAAAGCTGTAAGTTTGTCTTACAACATTTTTTGGCTATCCAACATGATGTAAAATATAGAATGTCTAGCATACAGGGTGTCCCAGAGCTATCTCGACAGGCATTATCTCGGATACTAGTCGAGATAGAAAGAAATGTTATATAGAAAAGGTTTTCGGCTTAAAAAGATGCGTTTAATCATCCTATTTTCAAATATACTGGGTGCCCCAAAAAGATGGTATATTGCGGAACTTCAATTTTTTAAATGGAACACCTTGTATTTAAGTTTTTGGGTTCTCCTTTTATTTCTGAACATATTTGATTAACCATGTTCTATACCTATCATTAACCGTTTACGATATATGAACAGTTTAATCTTGATTTAGACCTTTTCCATACTCTTAAATAAATACAGTAAGTGTTGACTACACGTCAAAAATTCTTCAATGTAGCTTAGTGACAGTTTCATTGACAGTAATTAAATTTCAAAATCTCCATTTAATTTTCGAATAATAGTCCAATTAATTAAGCCTTTAAATCGAAATTTTGATCAACTTGCCTGAATTTTTGATATGAGTTAGTTTGAGGTATATTATAACAATAAGTGACAGTAATTTTTTGTTCAACCCCCGACCAAGGGTGAAAAAAGATAACACAAAGGAGTTTTTCAAGATAACTCGATAGGGGCAAGGTCTAGAAAAAAAAGTTTCTTATAAAAGTTGTAAAGCATACAATTCTACATAAAAATGGTATCTTGTACTGTTAAAATTAATAGAGTGAGGGAGGCTAGAAGTTAAGGGAAGATTCCAGAAATTTAAAAAAATCATAACGAGCAGAAAAACGAATGAATTTTGTAATTTTTTTTTCAATCTACTCTAAAAAATGTAAAGAGACGTATTTTTTTTTATCGGCGGAAAAACATATTTATGGGGTGAAATACGCCCTCAAAGTTCGCCCCCCCAAAACAGTTTTTTCAAAATTTCTGTGGTTCTAATCAATATTTTGAAATGAAACAAAATGGAAATTACTTATGATAAAAACAAATATTTCGCAAGTGATTCCGTGTTTGGGGGTTGCTATCCAAATTTTTTGTTGTAGTAATAAATAGATTAAGTAAACTCTACATTTATAGGGCAATATTAATAAAGTAATCGGGGAATTTCCTGGTATTTGAAGGAAACGATTTAGTACTGGAAATTCTCGGGTACCTGGAAGGTTACTTTAATAAGGGTGTTTATAACTCTTGTCCTTAGTTTATTAGTTTTGTCTGCCCTTTATATATAGGTGAAATAACTAGTTTTAAGTGTGCAGTAGTTGTGTAGATGTCCACGTAGAAGTACATACGTCTTGTACAATCCTTTCTGTAAATAAACGTATATTAAGTAATTCAAGCTTGCATTATCAACAAGNCAAATTTGAAATTATTATAACTTTCTTATTAAAAATTAAAAAATATATCTATTTCTTTGAAAAGAAAGGTTACATTTTTTAGAATAGATCGAAAAAAAAATTACAAAATTCATTCATTTTTCTGCTTATGATTTTTTTAAATTTCTGAAATCTTTCCTTCTAGCCTCCATAACTCTGTTAATTTTAATAATACAAGAAAAAGTCAAGTGGCCATTTTTATGTAGAATTGTATGCCTTACAATTTTTATATGATAACTTTTTCTAGCCCTTACCCGTTTTGAGTTATCTTGAAAAAACCCTTTGTTTTATCTTTTTTCACCTTTGGCCGGGGGTTGAACAAAAAATTACTGTTACTTATTGTTATAACATACCTCAAACTAGCTCATATAAAAAATTCAGGCAAGTTGACCAAAATTTCGATTTAAAGGCTTGTTTAATTCTAGACAAACATTTTCTAATGTAGAGAGAAAATTGCGTTCTGGTTAATTTCCAAACCCAAAAGGATTTCAGTATGTACGTTTGGCAAGTGACGAAGAAAATACTATCAATATTCTTGCGTTTATAGCAGTCAATCCACATGCGTATGTTCGTAATATTGCGGAAGAGATTGATATAAGCAAATCTTCGGTTCACCAAATTCTAGAAAATAATGGACACCATCCTTACAAATTATCGTTGGTTCAAAATTTAAGACCTAATGATTACCACAGACGTCTGGAGTATATTGCTGGCTTTATGGTTCAGTTACATGACGACCCTCACTCCTCAGTTTCTCCATAAAATTATGTGGACCGATAAAGCACGTTTTCACAATAATGGTGTGGTTAACCGGCATAATAGTCATTACTGGTCTGTTGAAAATCCTCACTGGGTCTGAGAAACCCATTTTCAATCCATTTGTGGAAGTAATGTGTGGTGCGACTTATTTAATAGACGATTAATTGGACCATACTTTTATCAAGGTACTCTGGACTGGTGATGGATATTAGTCCTTTTTAAAAGATGTTGTTCCCGATCTTAAAGAAATTCCATTAAATGAGCGCTTCACTATGTGGTGGCAGCAAGACGGAGCACCACCTCATAACTTGCATGTTGTAACGCATTTTTGACTGAAAGATTTGGAGGGAACTGGATTGGTAATCAGTGACCTGTTAGGTGGCCTGTCAACTGACCTGAGTCCTCTCGATTTTTATCTGTGGGGACATTTAAAGCAAGTTGTGTACGCTGAAAAACCGAATAACGTTGAAGATTTACAGAATGAAAACACTCGTGTTTGCCGTCAAATATCTCTAGATGTTACACGATCTTCTTGTACACAAGCACTTTTAAGGAGGTATGAATTGTGTCAAAATGAAAATGGACGACAATTTGAGCACATTTTATAATAGTTATAATGTTTTTTATTTTGTTTTATTTCTGAGAGTACTTATTAAAAAAATGTTACTCCAAAAATGTTTTCTACATTACCTCAAGAACGGTTAATGAAAAATATAGATGGTTAATCAAATATGTTCAGAAATAAAAGGAGAATCCAAATACTTAAAAATATACTGTATATTTCCATCCAAGTTCCGCAATATACCATCTTTTTGGGGCACCCTGTATATTTGAAAATAAAATGATTTAACGCATCTTTTTAAGCAGAAAACTTTTTCTATATAACATTTCTTTCTATCTCGACTAGTATCCCAGATAATGCCTGTCAAGATAGCTCTGGGACACCCTGTATGCTAGACCTTCTATATTTTACATCATGTTGGATAGCCAAAAAATGTTGTAAGACAAACTTACAGTTTCTAAAATAAAATAATTAAATAAAAATAATAAATTAAATTAAATAAAATTTAAAACCCCTACAAGTGCCAATAGCAATCAGAAGGATTAAAAGCTTTACATTCAGAGTCAGATTGACAGCACATTGGTCTACCGCACAAATACGTTTTTCCCCTATAACAAAATTAAAACATTTTTTCCGTCGACTTCACCAAGTATCTATATCTGTAATCTATAATCGACCACTATTTATGATCCTGAAATGATTGAGTCCGTGAAGTTCTTGAAAATGTAAAAATAATACACATAAAAATGTGAGACTAAATCAAAGATTAACAAAATGAAGCCAAATTATTAAGGTCAGCTGAAAAAAGACCCTGCACGGTCTTTATAAAAATGTGGGCTCGGTCAAATTGGCTGAAACTGTGCTAAGTAAGTTTTTGTGTTACTGACCAAAAGTATCCGCAGTACTTGGATCCGAAAATTAATTCTTTCCTACTTATAGCGGTCTGAGTCAGTTCTGCTGATGATGGTTGCAAAGTGGTATCAGTAGAATATTGCAATTAAAACACTTTTATGAAATGTTTATAGAAAAAATTAGTCGGATGACCTCGAAAAGTGCGAATTAACACTTTTGACATAATGCCAAATACCAAATTGGTCCCGGTCCTGACCCCGTGGCCCCATCATTCAAAAGATGGTGTAGGAGGAGGGAGAGAATTTACAATATCATATTAAAACCTAGGTCCCTCTGGGTCTGAAAGAAGAAGAACAAAAGTTACCGTTTTTATTATAATATTCTACTCATACTATTTTGCTGCCATCATCAGCAGAACTGACTCAGCCCCCTATAAGTAGAAAATAATTGATTTTCGGACCCAATTACTGTGGAGACAATTTGACCGAGCCCACATTTTCATAAAGACCGTGCGAGGTCCTTTATAATTCGTCCAAAATCTGCCTGTTGTAAATCGCGCCAGCTTATTGGAAAAATGCAACTAATTATAAATGCAGTGATACAAAAGAATGAAGTGAAGAAAATTAAATAATAATATGTATGTACTTTGCCTCACAGAAAATCAAAATGACGCATAACGCTACAAGTTTTGACGTGAATCTACAAACTACAAATCCAAAGCACTACAGAAATGTCAGACACAATGTTGTGATTATAAAAAACTACTTTAGACAATTTAACCTTATTCAGTTACGGATTTTATATTTCACTTTTGTTGTATTGTTTTATTTGAATTAATATTTTTATTTTCGAGTATACTACCCGACAGCTCATTTCGGCACTGATTACTTTTAGTAGTTTTTAATAAATTGCCTAAATGCCTGTCTAACCTACAGATATCTCTGTAAATATGAGGTATATTTTGGTTCAAAGTAGTTGACCTAAGTTAATATATACCGACAATAAAGTTAAGTAACTACATATTTGGAACTGACAACCAAATCAAGCCTATGGACTCTAGAATTTACCTTCACCTGTATTTTTAGTAAAAATGCTAGTAAATAGCTTAATCATAAATGTCTCGAAAAAGTACAAAGCGTTTCGGGCACGTGATAAATTTATAGACAGCATCCCACTTAAAAATGTGAATCAATTTTGTTAATAAAAAAAAATATAAAACATTAAACTTTTATTTTAAAAAACTTTGTTGTTCACAATGTACAGTTCACATTCATTTCGTTATAGAATTGTATAGTATCCACATATTTTATATGCCAACACCCTAATAGCAAAAGAAGTCGAAAACGATCAAACATAGACTCCTAAAACCTTATATCAGAACGATCAGCTTAATTTTTTGAGATCTAAAAAATAATGTTTCGTTCACAATGTTTTTTAACCATTCGGTAAAAAGCAAAATATTTTTAAAACGTGAAACCAGTTCTACTTCATATGCTCATAAAATATGTTTTTCTATTCATATAGCGAAACTAAGGATTTTCTCATGGTTTAGTCGATGTGAAACACATTTTTTCTCGCCGAAAATGCTCGTTTCGTCCTAAGAGATGAAAATATTAAAATTAACATTTTGTTAATTAAAATACTAAACTAACTAATTATACATAAAGCTTCTTATAAATTAAATTAATTTCAACGGAATATGTTTTTTGCATACCTAAGAATATTCAAAAAATTAAATCAAAGTTTTACTTGACCAAAAATGTCATCTTCTTCGTCGCGGTTGCAATATTGAATATAACTCATGTGTTGTAGAAACAACAATTGATCATTTGCTAAATTGTAATTTATTTTTAATTAAATTCAGTATAAAATTATGTATCATCAATCACACGTCGCTAATTCAGCTTGTGGGCAATATGTTTACCCGACATCAAACGGAATTTTCATCTCTTGTTACAAATATGCTGGTATTTCCAATAGTTTAGTAGTTTAATATAGATCCAGACGTGGGTAGTGCAATGTCTTCTAGAGGCAAATAGTGTCCAAGAGTTTGGGAAATATCATTTCGATTTCGCTGGGACACCACGTAAAAAAATTATGTACATAATGTCGCCACAATTCCAATGTGCATTATTTTGTCTAGCCAAATACCCAGGAATTCATAATGTACCTAATAAAAATTCAGAATTTCGTTGACACATGAAATGGGGTTAAAAAATACATACATAATTTCGGCACGGTATTGAATTTTTACAAAAACAGACAATCATAATATTAAACAAGTTATTATTGACATGTTTTTTTATATGATGTATTTAAAACCAACTTGTAGTTGGAAATTTTCAAGGGGTCATTTGACCCAGCATGAATTACTTATAAATCAATACTACCACATATAACAAGAACTTTAGAAACTATGCCGTCAATTCTTGTTGGTACAGGTGAGTACACAGGTAAGCTAAACCTGTCCACCAAAGAGGGGTGGTTTTCGGCAAAACATTTTTGTACGGCATTTCTAAAGTATATAGGTTATACAAAAAAATGAACCTCGACCTAATGCCGTACAAAAATAGCAATACCGAAAGCCAGGAAAATTTTTGATTTTCCGAAAATTTTGACCCGGGTTTTGGTTATTTATTACAGTATGGCATTTATACTACAAGTTTCGGATCGATACATAGATAAATTTTTAAGCGATGCCGTACGTACTTGCTGATACAGGGGTTAGGAATACAGGGTGCAACCCTCTATTTGTAAGTAGCGTATGGGGGTTATTTGAATCAACATCAAATTGAGTCATTTTAATTTTATTTTATAAAATAATGACATTTTTGGTCATGCCGTGCATTTTTCATGAAACGTGCTTACTATAGGAAAATTAATTTTCCTCTGAAAAGAAGGATTTCACGGTGAAACATTTTTGTACGGCATTAATATATTTTGTTAATACTGACAACAATAATAATCAACAAAAACAAAATGCTGTACAAAAAAAAATGGTTCAAATGCCTTGAAATATATTTTTGCAAATAAGTATTACTTGCAAGAATTGATTTTATTTTTACTACTATTTTCTGCTTAATACAAATTATTTACTATTGTACGGCCTTTCTATAATAAGACTTAACAATATCACATAGAAATATTTTTCAGTAATGCCGGACATATTTGTCGATACAGGAGTGAGAAACCCCGAATGCAAACCCCTATATTCTGACCCTTATGATTTCCGCAAATGATCGGCATTGTTGCTAAAACATTATTTAAGATGTAAAATAATTTTTAAGTAATATGCCGTTAAAAAACCATAGGANTTAAACATATATTGTATGCCAATGGCTTCATCACAATTTTTGCATAAATAAATTGTTCAAACAATTGTAACAGAAGTTGCAAATATGCAAATGCGAGGGTACTGTTACTTCATAACATATAGTATATATGTTTTAAATGTAAGTATTTATATAGGAATTCTCATGAATATTGAGTTAAAATTAATTGTTTATTATTATATTTATTTAAAAATAATACTTCTTGCACGTCATTAAATTTCTAAATTTCTCAAAATATTTTCTCGATTCTCTATACACAATTTTTTTTTAACTTAAAGACAATGCCATCATAATTTCTACGGTATAAATTAAATTTCCCTTGAAATTAGGATAAAACCCATTTTGGACTTATACAGTTTCGGAGAATTGTTCCAACAAATATGTACGGCATTGCAATTTTCATTCTTTATGTTATAATTCTGATAAAAATTTGTAAATGCCGCACAGTTATTAATGACCTAAAAATGTAGTAAAAATTTAATAAAAAATATCAGCTATGTAAAATCCACTAGTTAAAAATGTACGGCATTGGTCTTTTTATATTTTTTTACTTATAAACAGCCAATTACAGCCATAATATTTTGAATATAATATTTTTAGTTTATAACAAGGAATTTTCAAAATATTGTAAATTGTAATATATTTATTTGTTTTTTAATTTGAATTTTTAATTTGCATCATTAGTTATAACCGGCCATGATTTAGTACGATAGTTTTTGGTTATATTTTATCAAAAAAGTTATTGCCATACAAGAATTAGTTATCTTATCGAACAAAAAAATAAATCTCAGTTCCATAATACAAGTAATTGTTTATAAACTTTTGCATTAACCATAATTTTCAGACGGCATAGTTGCTAGGAATTATTTCGAGAGTTAAATAATCATGTGGAATCGATGCCGTACATTTTTCAATGACTTGAAATAATGGGGGCTAAAATAGAGGGTTGTGCCCTGCATTTCTAACCCCTGTATCAGCAGATACGTACGGCGTCACTAAAAAAATTATCTTCGTATCAATCCGAAACTTGCAGTATAAATGCCGTACTGTAGTAAATTGCCAAAAACCGGACCAAAATTTTCAGAAAATCAAAAATTTTCCTGGCTTTCGATATTGCTATTTTCGTACGGCATTAGATCGAGGTTAATTTTTTTTATAACCTATATACTTTAGAAATACCAACAAGAATTGACAGTATAGTTTCTAAAATTATNTTAAATGTTTATTATTATATTTATTTAAAAATAATACTTTCTTGCACGTCATTAAATTTCTAAATTTCTCAAAATATTTTCTCGATTCTCTATACACATTTTTTTTTTAACTTAAAGACAATGCCATCATAAGTTCTACGGTATAAATTAAATTTCCCTTGAAATTAGGATAAGACCCATTTTGGACTTATACAGTTTCGGAGAATTGTTCCAACAAATATGTACGGCATTGCAATTTTCATTCTTTTTATGTTATAATTCTGATAAAAATTTGTAAATGCCGTACAGTTATTAATGACCTAAAAATGTAGCAAAAATTTAATAAAAAATATCAGCTATGTAAAATCCACTAGTTAAAAATGTACGGCATTGGTCTTTTTATATTTTTTTACTTATAAACAGCCAATTACAGCCATAATATTTTGAATATAATATTTTTAGTTTATAACAAGGAATTTTCAAAATATTGTAAATTTTCACAATTTATTTATTAGTTTCTTAATTCGAATTTTTAATTTGTACTATTGATCATAACCGGTCATGATGTAGTACGATAGTTTTTGGTTATATTTTATCAAAAAAAGTGGTTGCCGTACAGGAATTAATGATCTTATCGAAAAAAATAAAATAAAACTCAATTCCAAAATACAAGTAATTGTTTATAAACTTTTGCATTAACCATAATTTTCAGACGGCATAGTTGCTAGGAATTATTTCGAGAGTTAAATAATCATGTGGAATCGATGCCGTACATTTTTCAATGACTTGAAATAATGGGGGCTAAAATAGAGGGTTGTGCCCTGCATTTCTAACCCCTGTATCAGCAGATACGTACGGCGTCACTAAAAAAATTATCTTCGTATCAATCCGAAACTTGCAGTATAAATGCCGTACTGTAGTAAATCGCCAAAAACCGGACCAAAATTTTCAGAAAATCAAAAATTTTCCTGGCTTTCGGTATTGCTATTTTCGTACGGCATTAGCTCGAGGTTAATTTTTTTTATAACCTATATACTTTAGAAATGCCGTACAAAAATGTTTTTACCCGTGTTCTCACCTTTACCAACAAGAATTGACAGTATAGTTTCTAAAGTTATCGTTATATGTGGTAGTATTGATTTATAAATAATTCATGCTGGGTCAAATGATCCTTGAAAATTTCCGATGGGCTTGTAGTCTACATGTACTTAATGTCTGCTAGGTGATAGTTGGAAAATTTCTGTCTATAAAATACTATTGTAATTAGAAAATGTTGTTCAATTTTAAGAATGTTTTCTTAATTTTAGTCGTCGAATAAGAAACCGGACTTCCGCATCCAGTACACCAAAAAACATTGGCAGCAACGTCGAGAGTAGCATCCACAGCTCTCTAAGTGACCTTAGTGCAGGGACTATACCAACCAAAAAAATTGTAGGTAAGTATCTGAATGTCATTCATAGTTAGGGATTATGTAGAAACTACTTTTAAAAATTTTTTATACAAGTAGCATTAGCCAGAAAGGTAAATAAACAGTACATTGTGGAACAATGTTCTTTCGATTATGTTGGTAAATCCACTAAAGCTATTTGTATCTTGTATACAATATTTGTTAAAAGACTTAATAAGAAACTACAATTTTGTTCATCAAAATAACACAACGTTGTGGCAAGTTGTTAGCAATCAAAATGTCAAATAATAAAAATGAATGTGTTTTTAGAACAAATGCTGAAATTTCATGGGTTGAATATTTAAGTATATTGTATTGTATAAATAAATAAATAAATAAAATAAAATCGTCTTTATTGTACATAAAAGAAAAATTTCGTACAAAAGGCGAAGTTATAGCCTCGTGGCTACTCTTCCACTTAAGCCTAAAGACACAAATGAGATATTTGGTAAGTATTACATACAAAAAGGAACAATCACGTATTTTAAAATCCAGAAGAAGTATAACATTATATATTTAAAAGGACAAACAAACAAAGTAAACTGTTAACTAAAACAAAATAAGTTAAGTTAACTATACAAATCAATTTGTAAAAGAAAGAAACTAGACAAAAGCATGTGCATGTGCCAGTAAGCCAGGCACTCCACTAACAAGGGATTTTTTTTAATTTCTGGGGAATGCAGTTGCTGAAAGATTTTAAAAGACCTCTCTAAAGAAGTATAACTATAGACGGTGTTGTAAGAAAAAGACTTTTGAAATCCAGCTGTAAGATGTCGTGGCATAGGAAGACTAAGAGCGCTACGTACATTAACTTCATGAATATTATTTCGGGTAATAAGTTTGTTTTTTAGATAAACTGGTGAGGAGGTTGCGTGTGAATGTCAGAAGTTCCAGCTTCCAGTATTCATCAAATTTTAGCCATTTAAGTTCTCTGATTTTATGTGTCACATGATCAAACTTATGCAATTTAAATGTAAACCGACAGTTTTGCACTTTTTGAATTCGCACTTTATTATAATAATAAAAAAAATGATAGGACATTTTTAAACAGTAGGAAAAAATAGGTAGTATCATAGTTTCACATAATTTTTTCCTAACTTTAAAGTTTATAATACTGCTATTTGCAAAAAGAATTTTCAGGCGAACATAAGATTTTTTCAAAAGTGAATTAACATGACTATTGAATTTCAACTTATTGTCGAAAATTATACCCACATTTTTAGCTTCTTGTGAAAAGGTGAGATCGGAATCGTTTCATTTAAAACATAAGTTGGAAATAAGGTAGTCATAAAAATTACGAGAACAGTATAAAAATGCCGATGATTTTTCAGCATTCATTTTCAAATTATGATTTTTACTATACTCAATGAGTAACTTAAGGTCCGAACTTATTTGCTCATTTGCTTGTTCTACATGTAAAGGGTCAATATTAAACATTTGGGTATCATCAACATAACATTGAATTGTACAAAACACTTTTTCTAGCCAAATATAGAAAACCTTGTTTCAAAATAAGTAACTTCAATTATTATATTATTGTTAAACTTGTTTTCTAATTTAGTAATTTGTTTTATAGATTAAGTAATTATAATATCTGAGTTGTGTATATGTACGTCCTTGTAAAACAATAAAGCAAGAATTAGGTATTTTATATTAATTTAAAATGAAATGTACTTCTGGTTGCATAACCTTACTAACATAGCATAGTACATATATAACTAATGTATTACTGCTTGTGTTAAATCATAAAAAAGTTATAAGTTAAAAAAATTTCTACCGTCTAAGGTAACATTGACATTCAAAGATAGTATTGTGGTTGAATTCAGTACCCCTCAGACATTTTTGCAAGTACACTGATATAATTTACAATAAAATAGGTACGTACCTGTGTTATTAAATACCTACTCATTTGAATTTCGTTACACGATATATCGATAATTTTGGAATCCAGACTTAACATCCGTTGTACTTATGTGCGTGATCAATTTTACAATTTGTATTTACCATAATGTAAACGTTTTTTTAGAGTTTTACATTGTACACATTATTGGCATTATATACACATCAGGGTGTAACAAAGATGAACCAATAAAACCTCAAAAGCTTGCAGAACTCCCACAATTAATGGGATAAACTGAATATTTTTTTTCTAAAATGGTTCATGAGGAGCTGGAGGGTTGCTGGAGATCCAATTTTTTTTTTTATTTTGAAACATCTTTCAATGCCCTTTTTCGAAAAATGTATTAATTCTGTTTACACCAGTCATGATTGATCAGCAATACTAAGTGATAAATTATGTAATTCAATGGCGGAGATTAAAAAAAATCTGAGATTTTTCGTTGTTTATTCCTAATGTGTTTCGATTTCATGTTGTTCAGACAAATGTAAACAATGCATTGCATTTTTTTAAATCAAATAATTCGAAAACGGTACATATTACGTCACATTTTTTTTATTAAAATTTTAAAATTTATAGGTTGTTATTATTTTTAATGTTGTTGAAATTTGTTGGCAATTTCTTTTATACCCTGTATTATCTCTGTTAGTCAAATATAAAAGTTAACACTTTATTTCTACAAAAAAAAAAGCATTTGCGTGGAAAAAACGTAGATTTGTAATGCGATAACACGAAGGACAAGATTTCTTCATTAGAAATACAATACTTTGGACGACAATAAACAATGGGCATTAGTTCGCAAAAAGGAAAGTTGAATGCCTTTTATAGCGTTTCAAATTACGGTTTGATATAACACAAATGAACAAGTAAATAGTAATTACTTGACAGAAAATTGTTTAAGGGTTTTAATCTCAAAATATTGACGCATACCATTTAGTTATACTTGTATACCTGTGTTTTCACTGATTATGAGATTATTTCTGAAGTTTCTATTTAAATTTACATACAGATAAACTCGTAAGTCGATCTTGCCGTCAGTTGAAGGTTATTTACATGTATCTACATATTTACGTACACACAAGATAAAAAAACAAAAGATGCGAGATTAGATACTCTAAAATTAGCTTATGATTGGATTTTAATTAACAAGCAATTTTCAGAAGTCAATTATTTGTATAATGCGTATATCCTTGCTTTTGAATTAAAAAAATGCACATCTACTTTTTAGGAGTAAAATTTTTCGTATACAAAATCCAAAAATTGGGGGGGGGGCTTTATTTGATGAATCAAAATATACCTACTTATATATTTTTTTGTATTCCATAGCGCACAATTTCTATCGCACACAGCTTCTCAAATAGAACACAATTTTATTTAAGAGTCGGAATATTTGGCACTAAAAAAATCGCAAAACTAAAAAGACACAACTAGTTTTATTTTCTGAGCAATACGACTGTCACGAAAAAAGTAGTCACGTTACACAAATATAAATGAAAATGCACTTGCTCGCATCTGCTATCTGCTACTATTTAATCACATTTGAATCCAGATGCATTATATCAGACTATCGTGTTTTTTTTTAATTTAACGACAGAAACTTTCAAGTGCGAGCTTTGTATAATAGGCGTTATTTTAACCATCAAAGAAATTTATAAATTTATTGAAAATATTAACAAGTGTATTGTGCGGTCCAAATTTATATTGTAATTATTCAGTAAATTTATTAATAAATAATTTCAAGAAAATCAAGACCAATTTAAATCAGGTTTAATGATTTTTATCATAAATAAGGTTGACATTATATCTTTAGATCAAATGTAACCAGAATTTACTAAAAAAATAATTCAAAAACTAGAGCCGGTCCCATTCTTACAATATCTTCATGAATTTGTTATCATTAATAAATTGACAACTTTGTGTATTACACATAACTATGAATTCAAGGTCAAAAATTGTCTCAATTTCTTTGATTGTGTAAAAAAAGGACATACCTAAGTCCCTGTGCGCATTGACGATTCTCAGTCGTTGTAAGAGGTTGTATCAAAATCAGTACTTATTTCATTTGAAGTTTGAAGAAGGGTTATTTGTTTTCCATAATGCAATGAATGATATAATATTAGACATTGCTTTGTTGAATTCTGATCATGACGATGAAACTGTACGCACAGAAATATGTATGTACCTAACCTAATAGCTTTTACCAATACGTTTTGTGTCATTAGGGGTTTTCGCCCTATATCACCCCTTGTTCGACAGTGCCAAACAAGCGCCGAATCGGCGTGTTACATTCGCGTAAATATCCGTGAGCTTACGTCATACGTAACGATTTAATTTGCCCAAGTGCAACAGTCAAATGTTGTGTATATCTTCACATTTTGGACACAATTTCAACTACAGAGACTTCAAAAAATGATTACAAGCCACATGACCACTGGCCACTTACCAGTAATTTTGTTTGGAACAGTAATTTTATTTCCTTCACGCTGGCAATTAAATTTCGTTGATTTAAAAATTATTAAAACAATAAAGATCAAGATTACATTAAAACACAACATTCTGTTTCGCCGGTTGTGATTGGTGTAATTTTTCATGAGAATCTATTCAACTAATAAGCGATAGCATTATCTCGAGCGTAGGCGTAACGCTTTGTCATTGTTCATTGTAAACGAATCATTAATATCGGTGACGCCAAGATTTAGGAATTTTCCGTTACCAGTACCACTCGTGCATTGTTGGATTGCCTAAGCTCGGGAGTGACGTGACTTGTAAACATTTATGAAGGCTCTTTATTTAATAATAATCTAATGTAAGCTGCTAAAGTAATCGTACGACTGAAATTCACAAGTGCGATAGTAATTTTTTAATTGCAAATATGTAGTTACAAAAATTTATAGTGAATTGAGTGATCATACTCAATAATGTTTTAGTTATTATGGAATGAATGTAAAAAGTTTCGTTGAATTAACAGGATCGAAAATATTTATTTTGCTTTTCCATTACAGAAAATCCATTTCAATCCGTTTTCACCGGAAACATTATTATAAACAATAATAAACCACAATCGATCGAATATTTTATGTTAACAAAACTT